ATCCTATATATACTCATATCTAAAAACCCAAAAAGTATAGACAAATGTAGACATTAAATGATCTGATTGATTCCCTTTCATATTGGTCATGATAATTTTGCTTTAGTATGTTTGTATGCGTGCTAATGTCTATACCCTATACCGGTCCTAAATCAGAGTGAGTAAAATAGCCTACTGTCAGTCTCGGGTCATCAAGGTTTAACGACACTTTTTATAGTTATGAGTATATATAAGACGTAAGATAAAGCCACACAGTATTCCTGATTTAGCATTAACTTAAACTTTTATAAGAATGAGTCCATCATATGATTAACGGAAACTTAACTTGTTTTCGCCCCAAACGAGGGAGGATGTCTCGTAGCCTGCATCAATCTGAACGTCGTATTAAGGCCAAACGTCTGAAGTACGAGTATTTGCCATTGCGTTCTGATGGAAATGTCCCACAATTCTCTCCATAATACACTTTCATACGGTATAAAAATCTCCCCAACAATCTCATTTTAGGAGAATCATCGTAGCCCAGTTATTCTTCTTATCTACAGATTAACTTTGTTTGACTTTAAGAATACATTTAACAACTCCTTGTTTACTTGTTAGCCTTTTTGGCTTGTTATACTCTATTTTAGCTTCCTACACTGTATGGACTAGAAGGAAGGACGCTTCCGTTGCAATTATGGTTTATAAACGTATACAGAGTACTTAATCAATCCACCAAGTCGACTTAAGAGCTGGTTTCCATATTGGTTGACTACTGACCCTACTAAACTTCCATCTGCTTAGTATTAGAGACAGTGGAAAACTATATATTGTTACTATTGCTCTTATACATTTGGAATTAAAGAAAATGGAGTCGTTGAACTACAGTATAATAATTCATTTTAATTCAGAAAAGGACATATTTGAAGATGTGCTTCATTACACATTCGCCCAGCAACCGAATTAGCCTATTTATATTTTTATGTACTATTAATACCTAATTCGGATGCTAGGCTCATTTAAATTTTTGAAAGCCCTGTGTAAAATTTTACCATCATTATCATTTTTACTGCGATTATTAGATAAAAGATTGATCACTAATATGCTACTAGAACTTGATAGAATCCCTGCACCATTATTTCTCTAATCCAGCCTAACTTGTGACTTCGACTTCTTATTTCATAAGTTTTTTATCAGACTGATGGCCCTTACTAAATATTTCACAAAGGATAACTTCCTTTCTATGGTTTTCTGATTGGCTAACATTAGCCGCCCAACATTTCAAGAACTTTAACTCTTCAATTATGTCCTATCCGCCTAAGTAGCATTGAAAACAGAAAAAATATTTTACGAAGGAGCTCTCGAATTTGCCTGTCTGCCTTTTAATTACAGGCCACACTCCTGACATTTAACCTGGCCTTACACCAGCCAGGACATAAGAAGGTTTTTCCTATCAATTCTTGTTAAACTTGTATTATAGGTAACCTGTAGTAATTTTTGATTGGCTCTTCATATAGTCGGTATAAAAATGAGATCAAATCAGCACTTTCACGGGGCAGCGCGCTGTTTTTTTTCAGGAATTGCGGCAGTTTCAATTTTTCCCCTTCTTAATTGGAGAATTGTTGCAATAGCTTTAAACAGTGTAAACATGCATGAAGAGAAAGATTAATTGACCATTTAGTTTTCCAAGCCGTTTTTTTGATATTTAAAATTCGAATAGCCTATTCACCGTCGCATGATAATGTTAGCAGAGGCAAGGGACGTGGTCATACCTCGTATTTGTTTTCCTAGCATTGGCCAGTTGTGCTCCTAAAGTAATTTACATATGCTGTTGACATCATAACTAATGATTGGACATAACACTAATCCACATTCTATCATCATTTTACTCATGGTGTCAACAGTGGTAAAGTTGTACCTGATAAAAATTTCGACGCTAGAGTATAAGACCTTCAATTTTTGAAATAGGATAGAAATAATTAAATTAAATACATAACTGCAGGGTTAAACCAGGTTCGACTCTTTTCTAGCTTACACTTACTGTAACTGCCAATGGTGGATTGAAGGAAAAGTTTGCGTTTCAATTTGCTCTCTCCGAATTGGCCGATCTCTTACTGAATGGACAGTGTTTTCTGCATCGCCTACTGCATAAGTTGGAAATGCGGAATCGCGAATCCAAGTAATCATTTTAGCCCCGAATACACATTTTACTACATGATCATTTGATTTCAATGCAAAGCATTGAGCTACTGATATTGTCCAGGGTAGCAAAATGACGAAAACAGAGAGCATGGTGTAAAGGTCGGTATGATTAAAAAATAACCTCTTCCAACCCACTAAGGATAAGGCGAGTTTCCAATTGCGTTACCTTAATAAGAAGCTGGTATTGCCCGACTGATAAATAACGTCTTAGGCCAATCTACGCCTCTAACCATAAACCTTCATAAATGCCATTTTTTCAACTTTGGTCGACGAAACTCTTACCGCCAGCTGCCCAGGAGATTTGACGCTACGATCATCGAGCGGCGCCCTCTGGACATTTTGCCTGATCTTCATCGCAACCGAGGCAGAGGCCGACGACACAATAATATTGCCTGCATTGAAATTGGGCCAACCAGTACATGTGCATCTGGCCCTTACCAGCAAGGACAGGTAAAAAATCATATCCCGATTGAGCCTGACAACCACCCCTCTCCTTGTATGGTTTGAAAGAAAAAACTATCTCAAATGTGCATACCCACACCGGGGAGTTTATCCTAAATTGAAGTGAATGCAAGTAGGCCTCATTTATAGCGGATTATACTTGACCTTGTTCCTATTAGCACACCCACCCCGATTAGACTGCATCTCAGACATAATCTGGGCCCCACCAGAAACCCAAAACGGCGGAGGAAAAGTAGTTAATGTAAGGGGGTAGGGACATCTTACGGGCGCGCCACTAAGTCCCACTGGCTCATAGAAGCCCTTGGACAAAACAGCAGGGGCAAGCACCCAAGTTAGCTTTATCCTGATTGGCTTCATTGCAAGACAATTTCAAAATGTGTTGGGACCGAATATCACTGTACTCCTGCAAGAGATTCACTCCACGTTTTGTTCATACGCCTGAAGAAAGTTCAACTGCAAACAATGACCCCCTGCTGCGGTTAATACGATCAAACAAGCCCCCGACACTGCACTGAACAAGGCGGCGAAGAAGCGGCCGCCCACCGGCAGTCTCGTAGCACGTTAAGTATCACACGGAAAGACAACCGGTGACAGGGACGAGCCAATCTGAAGCAACACAGCATCCTCAGGGGCAAGTCAAATCCGTAGTATGGATGAAGCGCCGTGGCCTAGGGTGCCGATTTCGAGGGTAGCCAAGCGATAGGGCCTGACATTGGGACATTAACCAAGAGAATCCAGTTAAGCGGCCCATTGTTGCATAGTTTTGTGATTACTCAGAGCAAGCGAGGCCTACCAATGCGAGGGGGGGTCGACTGGGGTTAATTATGCAAATAAAGACGGGATTCGAGCATTTAAAGACCACGCTCATCGAATTCTCTTTGCAGATCAGCAGCACAATTCAGAGCCTTCCTATCCCCACCAAGCGACGCCGACTTCAGTATTTCACCTAGCATGGGTATCTTGCCGCCAATACAGGACCCAATAAGCACCGCGATGACGTTGACGTTCACTCCAATGAGTTACTGCAGACCAAGAGTGGCAACACTGACAGTGCAGGTGAGTACGATGACTTGTCAAGCTATGAACCTGACTTTAAATAAACTCCTCGCATTTTCAGAGTGAGAAGAATGAATGGATGTACAAAATAATCGGACTAATCCCAGCGTACACAGCACCCGAGGGGAGGTCAGACGCCCCATGGAGAAAAGCCCCATTGGCATCGAAAAAGAGAGCCCAGAACTTCTTGAGAAAGAACATAATGGCACTGAAGAATGAAAGTTACTGGTCTTAAGGTATCCTCTCAAGACATACATACATATATGTAGAAAGATTAACATTTGAGGAATATATTCTCAAAGGACGAGGACCTTGGTATCTCTTTTGTACTGTGCACAACAGCTTTGAGGCCAGAGACGAAATATTCAGCCAAGTAGCGAGAGCATGTGATTAGAAGGAACCTGTTTTTCGGTTAAATCTGGTCTGGAATGATAGCCTAAAATGCAGAAACATATTTTAAATGTGAATAAGATAGAAAATGCCATAAATACAAAATCAGCGGAAAACTACTTTTGTTTTTTTGAAAAAGGTTTAGAATTCATTAGAGGTAGAAAAAAGCGAATAACTCCGACGTACGATTAGGCTATTCATACCCCAAATGCATGACCCAGAGGAATATCGGCCCAAACTTTAGTGTCATCCAAGGGCCAAGATAGTTCGGATGCTGCGTCTATGGGTGGATGGTTATCCTTATCGGGATCATCAATCAGGAGACAAGTGTTACAAGCACTAACTATTCGATCTCTCCTATCCAAACTGAGAGTCGGATGAAAGACGTCTAAAAGAGCCAAGAGAGAGGGAAAAGTCTTCTCAGTTAAGACATCGATCAGATGGCGAAGAGCCCTACGAAAGTCAAAGCTCTCAATCGTTGACTTAGATAGATATTTAACCAGAGGATGTCCGGATCCGGATACATAACATTTGAAGGCCAACAACCACTCATGGGACCAGAGGTGCATGTATGACTCGGCAGTCATTGCCAGGATAGAATATAGCACTAACTCGGACGTTAATTCAACATTTCGGAGAAAACGCAGAATAGGTCCCCAAGTGCGAAGGGACGCGTGATTGAAAGAAAATGTTCCATTGGTGGAAACAGACTCCTCGACATAGCTAACAGCGTATCTGGTAATCAGAAGCTTGATGAAATACGTAGAAACTGAGGGGTCAGAGACAGCTCCCTCCATATCTTCAGTAGAGAGAGAGGGTGGAAGATCTTGAGATCCAAAGTAACTTTGAAGTATGCGATTGGTGTCGGAGATAGTTGAACGCACACCCTCTAGATGACTAGACTCACATATAAGATTAGAGTTCCAAAAGCTTATAAGCCAAGCTAAAGCCCACGAATGGGCCTCAAGTAAGAATTCAAAAGAAGGAATTGTGCCATGGGCAATATCGTTTCTTAGGTCCGCCATCCACACAGGCAGCCCGGCCTTTGAAGACAATAGGGAGACTGGCAACGCAAATCCAGAGCGTTTCCTATCTTGCTCTTCGCTGGAAACAAGACTAATGAAGCGCATCAGACTTAAGGCAACGCTCTGAGGGGAATTTTCAAGCCGCGAAGAAATCAGCTCATAGGTACATACGATAGAGCGCG